AATGTGTCCAGTGTCATCCGAAAATAGACGCGACATTTTGTCTGAACGTAGCCCAACTGGCATCTACTTGAATCGCCTAGCCCGTGCAATTGTGAGGAGCAGTGTTTTTCCAGATTTAAGTGATGATTCAGAAGAGTCCTATTCTCAACATATTTCGCGAAGAACTGTTTCCCTATGATAAGACATGCAGAAGGAAAAATGATCAGATTCTTCTATGTTTCAAATATTGTCGTGTCAAGTATGATGATACTTTGAAACTTGACATGTGTGATTTCTAAATACCAAATTAATTTTACTTTTTAGAAATGGACTAGAAAAACGAGCATTTTTCCCTAAATATACCTACAATTATTCTCCAATTTAAACGATTTGCAATCTTACGTGAGTGGATAGAACGATTTTTTTGTTTCTTTAAAACCAAATTTAACAATGTTCAAAAACCTACCCTAAACCCTTTCCTTAATCAAATAGATTTTTCCATGCTCGAGCATAATGTGTTACGTTACGACTACAGAGTTCTGTCCTTTTTCATCAATTGACGTAATACGTAAATTTCCAGAATGTCTCTTTCTTCTGTTATTGCGTAAAATACGACTATTGTGTACGTAGATATCGCCTTATTTGAGTTGTCACCAACTTGACGTTACCACGTTTCTTGAGATGTACACCTTCATGAGTTTAGGTTGATGTTCACCAGAAGATTGTACAAACTGACATGATTTCGACTCGACTTCTTACCTTGCGGAAAAGTGCCTTTAATTATACAGTGCAGGAATCATTTATGTCTTTAATCTATTGGTTTCCATTGTTTTCTAATTATATGTATATAGGTACAACGAGCGCACAATTTCGAAATAAATTATGTCTTAGCCAATTGCATTAATTTCATTTTCGTAAACAAATGCTAAGATTAAAGACTTTCATGACTTGAACAACACATAGATAGGTAGGTACACAATATAGTAACTAATAAGTAGCGCAATCACATGCTTAGTAGGTATACAAAGGAATTGCACCGCATAAAGATCTAATAAAAAAATCATCCTACGTTGAAGTGACTTAAACAACCGATTAATTTACCTAATTTACATAAGAGCATCGCATAAATATCGCACAAGATAAAATGAAATCTATTAACCAAGAAAGGATAAGAGGCACGTTCTCGCGTTTGCTACCAAATGAGGCGCTATGTGCTCCCCCATTTCATCAGAGAGACCGCGTACATCAATATTGACAGGTTTTTCATACAGAAAGAATAATTTTGCCCTTTTATTACCTACCTGCCAGGATTAGGTTACACGCAACTAACTATCTCTTTAATTAATCTCGTGAGTATTGTGAAGAAATTTTATAATTAATTCGATAATTTTAAAAAAAAACTTGTTTTCATGCGACAATCGAGGGCTTCCATTTTCCCACGCAGTGGTTGCTATTCAAAATTAACTTCCAACTCTAAAACATTTGCCAAAAATATCTTTTTAAGTTAACTAATGACCTTTTGCATCTATAAAAATTTAGTCAATCACGGTGCACTTACAATTTATTTTTGCATTATTAAGAACAACTGCCAGTTGCCATTACAAGTAAGTAAACTAAGATAAAGGGGCGTATTTATGCAAAAAGGGAACTTCGTTATGTAGTGGAATCGACCGTATGGCTTGAGTTGAGCTGTGGGCTTTAATTTTGTTTCCGCATTCTTCATCTGCCCTTTACCCTGGTTGAGTTTGCGCGAGGTTTCCGAGACCGATCCGTCAAAGCGCTGCTACCGCCGACGACCTTGACCACGGGCGAGGCCACCTTGGTGGCGCGCGAGTCCGTCGGTTATTAAATTAAAAATTAAATTAAAATCATTATTCCGCTAATGCTAATTTAATTTTTTATGTCATTTGTGCGCCGACTTACCAACAAACCGTTTTTTACATGTTCCATAATTTTACACGTTTGCCGTTTATTAACGATCCTAGACTCTAGAGATCGTTTATAATTTTATATTACTGTCGGTCGTCTGTCTGTTGGTCTTTACGTCTGTTCCTTTGTCTGTCTGTCCCTCTACCTGTCCGTGTGAACGATAACTTTGTTTAGAAATGTCCGATCGCTTTGACATCTCCGTTAGTTATGAACTGAATTGCATGAAATTCAATATGGGCATAGCTTTAGCCATGTAATACGCAATACCAAAAGTTGAGTCGAATCGATTCAAAATTCACAGTGCCCTTTTCGCATCTCGACCATTTATAAACCGAATTGCAAACCTTTTTATTTATAAAAGTATTTGAATGAAATTTGATACATAGGCACTTGGAATAAAGGAAAATCTAACGTTAGTTTCAAAATTTAGATTTGCGCATGCGCAGTTCCAACTTTCTTATTTAGAAAAGCATTGAAATGAAATTCTTCTTATAAACTGAAATTGAAGTAGCACGTCAAAAATGGATTGCACCTATGCAACGCTATCTTTCATATTTGTGGCCGGATTTTTACGATTTTAACAGAAGTTGCATCTTACAAATGGGAAATGAATGCAAGTGGAAATGCGCTTTTTGTAAATCGATTACTTTTTAACTTGTTTTTGTATTGGACACAATTTCTACAAAACCTGTTCATTTTAAATAAGTATAGGGATGAAATTACACAACTATCCTTATTTTTCAGTGTAAAATCCAACATAGAAGAGAAAATAGAGAATTTATATATTTTTTTAATGAATTTTCACATTTTCAAAACTGTGAAATTTGACATAGGCAAGGCCTAGGAATTAGATACTTAAAACAATTAATGAAAATATTAGGTCTGTTTTGCTTGCTATGTAAGTCAATTTATTTATCTAAAATATATTTTCAAAAAACTGAATTCAAAGACTATTAATATACCAACTTACGCATACCTAATAGAAAATAACAGGAAATTTCAATTTCCGAAAACTTGTGTCCTCGACCAAGGTTCTACGTGCTACTATACTACTACTAGGTACTCCTTGATAAATTTCAAAATTTTTATTTTTCACTAAGGAGTAACATACGAGTACAATCGCAAATCATGCGGTGCCAATTTCGAACTGCAACTCTTCCCAATTTCCAAAATTCAAAAATTCCAATTGCGCACATAAGTAACAGTTCTAGTTCATATAGTCGTAATTAAATTTTAGGTATTATTCCGTTTATTTACTTGAAATGCATTTTTTCGCCAATTCTTGTTGTATCAAATGGTCTTTTCAGTTCCAGATAAGTTTTGGAATAAATATCGCAATACGATAATTAGAAATTTAGATTTTGAAAAATAAGAATTTTTAACATAAATTGTACCCATACACCCGTACACTAGCTCTAAATAAACTTGTAACAAATATAGCAAACGAGCTCCTGGGTCACTGAACGTTTAATCAAATCTTCCTTGGACTTTGGGTGATGAATGATGAGATGATAAACAAAATACTGAAAACAGAATTGAAAAATTCGAACCCGTTCGGGAGTCCGCACACGGACGGACGCATAGACAGAAACTGCAAAATCATGAACTCGCTAGGGGCTCGTAAATAAGCATCCAAATGTATTCTCATCGTATGT